ACCTAACAGTTCTTTACACGCGATACATAATTTGTATATTTTACATTAACGACATCAAAACAATAATTAGGGTTATATCGTATAAAGTGAAGGAAGAAGTAGAAACAATGAAGAATAATGAATAAATTAATGATTGCAAATTATAATCTACATGTTACTTATCAAATCATTCTTTTAGAATTTCTTGTTTTTTCTACTGATGTTTACAAACACGAATAGTAATGTAATTATCGTGAAATCATATAGAATACGTTTTTCTGTTTAAAGATCAAGGACTTACGATCGCAGTGAGCAAATTCACTCAAGATAAAAAAATCGTAATCACGGTTGTGAATGAAGTTAAATCAGGACCGTGATCGTGATTCGGCGATCACTGTGATAAATCACCGTTGGTGATTTTGCACGCTATATCTAGTCAGCACACGTGAATACTACGTGGCTCCACCGTTCGGTCAAGATCTTCTGCGCTTTATTTTCACGAGGGAAAACGATGCTTTCTTTCTCGAACAGATTTCCTCCGTGTTCATCGCAAGGGCCAACAATGGAGTCTGCGAGAGAGTGTCAGCGCGTGAAACGTCACGATTCGTTATAAAGTTCTGTTTAGTGTCAAGATTCCACGGTGGTTCTGCTATTCGCAGAATCGTCAATTGGGAGGGACTGAGATAACGAGCCAATTGTCGCCTACGTGCAAGAAAATGCTGGTCCTCGTGTGGCGATAATCGAGGAGCGATTACGTGGATAGCATAATGGTAGGTAACCTGATGCGACAAACGAAGAGATTTCATTCCTTCCCTCGTGCCTTTGCCACTCGATTGTTCGTTTAATCAACAAAGTAAATAACATGATAGTATATATTATCTTCGTATATTTCAATGAAAATATCTAAGGTCTATGTTTTGTTCATTACTCCTTTGTCTTGCAGGATTAGTCCTAAATAGTGTTTATGATTGTGATACAGTTTAGTAGATACAGAAGAATAAATACAAATTCTGCTGGGGATTAATTAAGTTCGCATGTTACAGATGAGGTGACACTGGTTCTGCCATGCGGAACAAGTCAGTCACCATTATTTTTGGCTCTCTTGTCCTATGGGGTTTGATTACATACTTTCTGATCTCTGATCAGCCAGTCAATAAGGAACAAGATACAGTAAGCTTTATTTATTCATAAGTGGATCTTATAATACAAACTATGGGTATGATAATTCCATAGTGTAATTAGACACAATGGCTGACAGATAACACAGACATTGTCTATAAATTGATTAATAAGATTCCAATCCATTTGACTTCAATAAAAAATTACAAATGACAACAGCTTATTATTTCCAGGCTAGAGTATCGCATCAGATTAGTAAATTGGAAAGGAGAGTGAAGCAAGAAATAGCACTGAATCAGGAGATTTTGCAGGTTATTGAAGAGGATAAGCGACGTAAAAGTATGTCTTTCCAGCGTGAAGGTTTAGAAGAATATAATTGGTAAAATAATGAAGTGTGTCAATTATTGTTTGTTTGTTTTTTGGTTCAGAAGAAGAGATAGAAGCAGCAAATGCAAGTGCAGACGAAAGGCAAAAGAATAGAAATGATATTAACGAAGGCAAGGTTCTACCTGAGAAAGAAGAGAAGGATACAAAGGATAACGATAAGGATGCACAGGCTTCGCAAGAAGATCTGACTCGTACTGTAAAGTATCATAACTTGCTTGGAGTAACTCGAAGTATGCCATTGAAACGCGTTCAAGACTTTACAATTTCTCTTTTAAACAGAGCAAAATTTCTCATAATGTTCCTACTCATGGAAAACTACTAGACGGATCTCCAATAATAGCAGTCCTGGTGTTTTCTTGCAATCGTGTTACTGTACAAAGATGTATCGATCAACTGATAAAACACAGGCCCAGCATAGAACAGTTTCCAATTATCGTCTCCGAAGACTGTCAACACCGTCAGACCGCCGAAGTCATCGCCAGATATGGAGATCAAATAATGCACATACAAGTATATACGATTGCGCTAATGTTTTTTATGATTCCGGACTGTGAAAAATTAACAGAGTCAAATTCGTTACAGCAACCCGATCAGTCGGATATCGAAGTGCCGCCGAAGGAGAAGAAGTTCAAAGGATACTTTAAAATTGCGCGTCATTACGGATGGGCACTCAATCACGTATTCTTTCAACTTGGATACGATACTGTGATAATAGTCGAAGGTAAGTTCTACAGTTTTGCTATCACTTCGTTTTTCGCCGAGGGTATCCAACTGTTTGTTGTCTAATAATCGTTCACTTTCGTCCAGATGATTTGGATATAGCCCCAGATTTCTTTGAATACTTCCTGGGTACATATCCTCTCCTAGTATCCGACAATTCTCTGTGGTGTGTGTCAGCATGGAATGATAATGGGAAAGCTGGTTTAGTTGATGAGAATGCAGCCGATATACTGTATAGAACAGACTTTTTTCCTGGGCTGGGATGGATGTTGACGCGTCAATTGTGGACGGAACTTTCACCGAAATGGCCGAAATCGTAGGTACAAAATGTCTCTGTACTACCATAAAACGGGGCTCCAGTACACGTTCCTCCATTTAACGTTGTAACAGATATTGGGACGACTGGATAAGACAACCTGAACAACGCCGGAATAGGGCGTGCATTCGACCAGAGATATCCAGAACGAGAACGTTCGGGAAAGCTGGCGTAAGCAAGTGCGTACTGGAATATTGCCAACAGAAGAAATTATTATTGGTCGTAGGTTTTAACGCATGCCTGTGCTTAACCGACTGTTTGCTTTCAGCGGGATGTTCTACGAAAGGCACTTAAAGTACATCAAGCTGAACACCGAGCACGTGTACTTTACCAATATGAACTTAACATATTTGTCAAAAGTAAGAACATTTATAATTCTTCTTAGGCTTTTTTTTACCTTTAATCTACTCTAACGAAACGAATATTCCAGGACAATTACGACATGAGTTTCGTCAACGATGTGTATCAGTCGACAGTGGTCAGCTTTTCGGAATTAAAGAATGGAAAAGTTGTTGCACCGGGTGCAGTACGAATACCTTATTACAGCCGTCAAGCGTATAAAAACACTGCCAAGCAGTTCGGGTTAATGGATGATTTCAGGGTAACGAACACTTTATTAACATAGCTAACAGACCGTTGATAATCTGTCGGGAAACTAAATGGACGAAGTAAAAAATGAGATGTTTCTTTATGTTGGTAGAGCGGTGTGCCCAGAACTGGGTACCGAGGAGTAGTTACATTTTTCTACAAGGGGAGGAGAGTACATTTAGCACCCAGTCCAAATTGGAACGGTTACGACATTACTTGGAGCTAACAGAGGATTCGACGCAGCAGGGATTTGTTAGACTGTACAAGTTAATTGCTTCCAGAACGTTCGTTGAAACTGAGTGAATATTTTGATCGAACAGAACTCCCGCGAACGTTTATTCCGCTTGTAATTTTTCTTGTAGAAAGTTTGTGAGCGAAATTCGTAACGTGTATTGTTGAACGATGCGAGAGAGATTTGCATAGTGCCTCAAAAATCATACTCTCTGTTTGTACACGCAGTGCTATGCAGATGTAGGGTCTCCAGGTTAACCACAACAAATAGAAAAAGAAATGTGTCTGGCAAAGATCCATTGATTAAGAGAAAATAGTGTCCTGTAACGTTATATTTGCTTAGCACTGTGTATTGAGATGCAAAAGGACTGATACAGAGAATCTCAATTATTCGTGCATTTGAATTTGAAACACGATGGACATTTACTGTCCAGTTTTTACTTCCATTCTGTTGAATGACCTCTTCCAAAATCACTTTAAAGACTGTCCGATTACGTACTTTGTTAGCTCCCAAGACTACTGGTTACTTCGAAACAGTGGTGATATCTACAACAGTTGCACGAATAATCGAGATTCCACCGTTGTGTACATAATGTTTATATTGTATATCACACATGCATAGTTCGAAAGCAAACGCAATTTTTGGACTAATTTTACTCCCCAGCTTACTTTCATTCGCGTTCATTGGAATTGATGGGGTAGAAAACACGGAGGAAGGTAGACTTGTTAGTCCAGAAATAATGTTTCCGATTGACTCTCTGCATTTAGTGTGCATTGCTCACGGGTAATAATCGAAGAACCGAAGGTGCAAATTTCCTGGATCAGAAAATCAGAATATTAATAAACCGGGTGTGTTTTTTGATCTTCGAGCAGATCAAAGCTTCTGCTTTCTTTACCAAACAACGGGGGTGAAGGAACGTTTTACCAATAAAAAGCACACAGACATGCTGATAATGATGCAGTTAATTTTCAAGTAATCGAAATTCTTTAATTAAACGTTTCGAACACACGTACTTCTTCTGCGAATGTTATAGAATTACGAATACATATATTGTTAATCGAATTTTTGAAATTAAATCTGATTCCCGGATAAAATTGTCCGACTGACTGTGAACATCGTTCTTTTCGTAAATATAATTTTCTTTTTTTTTTCTTTTTGGCCTATCGACTCAGTGAAACATTCCTGATAATGAGTAACATTTATTTCCTCTTAGCATTCTACAGCTTTCAACGCACAAATCATGTACATTTGTATACATTCCCGATTCTCCATGGAACAAATACAAATATTATAGTGACTTCAATTCCCCTCAAGCCCGCTGTACGTACGGCGTTGACTATAAAAACATATACTTCTGGCTTTGGTCTCGGTGAATCGTGAACTTTCGCCTCGCAAAAGTATCCAAAAGGCGGTCGTTCTATATTCAAGTTCGTTAGAACGCAATTGTCTAATGCTGCTTGTGTCTTCCTGCAACTGATTGCATACAAATTGTTAACACACCATTGGCATGTTCCAAAAGTCTTATTATATATTTATAATTGCGTATAATGTTAAATACTTTTTAATAAAGTTCAGAAACCTTATGTCGCGTCTATGTTTATAAAAATATTTCATTACAGACAGCCCGTCTCCGGAAAATCTATTCTTAGACCACCGGCCGTTTATAGTAATTTTTCACGACTAATTGCAGTCAATTGTCCGACAATGTGTTAATATATAATACTTTCTTAAAATATAAGAGATTACTCAGATACAGATAACGTACAAAGACATATCCAAAGTGCCAGAAGATCGTTCCAGGCATCTCACATACTTATTGAAGTCGTCTAGGCAATGTTTTTTTATACCTTGGAATACCCCTAACGCACAGGCTGTTACATTTTTCCCTTCTTGAATGCATTTACGTGGATCTTTCGTCTCTTGTTTACATAGCATAAACTCCTAGAAGTCACAGATTGCAACAATGAAGTCTCATTGAAGAGAGTATTATTGCTCCCTATTTATCCTTGCGTGCAAGGTTATGAATTATTTGGAATGAAAACTGGTAGATTGATGAGTGGGTCAGCTATAGATTCGAAACTTTTACGGGTCAACATTAACAGAAAGAGTAATAGAGGGAATTGTCAGACTCAAAATGTTGGTGCACTGCCACCAATTTCTACACGTTGAGAGAACGTTATGTAATCTTCGGTAACTGATTGAAATTCTAGCTTAGAAAATTGGCACTGAATGTATCGCGTTGAGTGAACTTTTGGGAATTGGAGCGACAGCAGAGAAATGCTTACATTATTGTCCCATTCGCATTTCTTTCCGATATAAAAGGAGGCAGCTTGCAAAAGCGGCCAGCTAACATTTATTTCCTGGACTGTTAATTCCTCGTCCGAAGGGAGCGTAGTCTTCTCTGTAATGACCATAGTACTTTAGCGTTGTTAACGGTTGATCAACAATAGAGTGACAATGTACCCGCTTCAATACAACGATCCTCGTTTCAAACCGATCTCGACAGCCGAGACCAACTCACTTACAAACAAATGATTCTTTAATGGCGTTAATTGTACAGTTCTGTAGATATCGAGGCAGGTGCCGCGTATCAAAAAGACGATTCCCACGACCTCTTATCGGTGTAACGTATTTACTAAGGAGGGGATTGGCGGTGTATTTAACCGTTGAACAACATAGAGAACTTCTGGAAAAGTATTCCATCTCAAAAAAAATGATGACGATTAGATGGTGGTCTAGTCTATTCAATTTGTGAGACGGTTAGTAGAATATCGTACAAATAACCTTTTCAATGGTTCTGGAATGACTGCCATAGATAAGTAATATACATGAGATGAATTGAAGCGCGCATGCACTAATGAAAATTCAGATGCGTATCTAGCCACTATAATTTTGGATACCCTCAAGGGCACTCGGTTGATTTTATAAACATACGTGCAGTTGGTTAATTATATTCTAATTTAAAAATATGATGTAAGGTTGTCATGTTTTATGAATATAAAACCTTTTTCATAGATACAGTAATGCGCTACTGCACTTGCAGTATGCACTTCAAGATGGCGGTGGAATGTTTCGTCGCATTATGTCGTGACCAGTCGTGACTGAAATTACGAATTTCTAGATGTAATAAGGCTAAATCAGGCCTTCTGTGGAACAGACGTTTTTACAAAATTGACAGATTAAGCATTTGGAACCATGGCTGATAAAAGGCAACAGAATTTATCGGTAAGTATTTGATCGTTGGCATCTACTCCAATGCATATTACTTTCGAAGAAAAGAATTATCAATAGACATACAAAGATACTTTTAAAAAATGGAACTTTAAATGGTTAAACTTGGCTTCAAGTCTATAATTTTGATGTTACATTGCAACATTTAAATGGGACCACCTTTAGGTCAACCATTCATGATTCATAACAAGATGTAAGATGTAACAGAATATTGGATGTGTCTTTAAAAATGAAATTATATTTTACAGAAGGAGGAAATAGCCAAACAGTTTATGTTACCAGAGAGGAAAAGTAAGATTGCTACTTTATTGAAACAAGATGGACAAGCTTACTGTATCTGCAGAAGCTCTGATAGTTCACGCTTCATGATGTGCGTAATATATTTCTCTCAGTTTCTAGTTGGTAATTATTTACCGAGATACATTTTAATTTTAGTGGTTGTGATGCGTGCGAAGAATGGTACCATGGTGACTGTATAAATATCACTGAGAAGGATGCTAAGCACATAAAACAATTCTTTTGTATTGTAAGATATCCTCTGATAATGTAATTTGATTTTCATAGAATGAAACATATTAACTAGGTGTATTTGTAGCGCTGTAGAGAAGAGGATCCAACTCTAGTAACCCGTTACAAGCCACGAAGAACTGAACAAGAAGATCGTAAATATAAAAAACACAAAGAAAAGGAACGAGCTCTTAGGTACGAGTACGATGGACCCTGGGATGATCCAAACGTAGTAAAAAAATCGTCGAAACGTTGCGGAGAATGCACGGGTTGCTTGAGAACTGAAAACTGTGGAAAATGCGACGCATGCAGGTATTTTTAACAGCATCTGGGAATTAAAAAGAATTCTAATTAATCGATCGTTATTTCTTTATTAGACACTTGAAAAAGTTCGGGCCTTCGGTACGATTAAAGCTTAGGTGTATACAAAGAACTTGTCGCGTGCTAGGCGATCCCCTGAAGCCCTCGAAAAGCTTCAACAAGAGTTCGAAGTTCATCAAGAAACGGAAGAGGGATTCCAGTAACGAGAGGAACGAACATCTGGAGGTGCCCAGACACTGTTACGGGCCAGCTTGCACGAAGCAATCGCGACCTGGTAGCAAGTATTGCTCCGATGACTGCGGATTAAAGTTAGCGACAAATCGAATTTATCAAGTGTTACCGCAACGGATACAGGAATGGTCGTTGACCCCGTGCATCGCGGAGCAAAATAACAGAAGAGCGTTGGAGTCTGTCAGGAAGCAACAACACGACGTTCGAAGAATACTTCAGGAACTTGATAAAAGACACGCGGAGTTGGACAGGATTGTGGAACGGGCGAAACACGCAACTATCGACCCACACGCAGAAGTGGACGACAACGATGACACGGAGATGAGCATGTACTGTATCACTTGTGGTCACGAGATTCATTCTAGGACCGCTATCAAGCACATGGAGAAATGTTTCAACAAGGTAATTGAATAATGACCCCCTACGCGTTTAAGGTGATTCAGATGCTACTATATAATTGTAATTATTTTACAGTACGAGTCCCAAGCGTCGTTCGGTTCGATCTTCAAAACCCGCATCGAGGGACAGGTGATGTTCTGTGATTTCTACAACCCTGTGAATCGGACTTACTGCAAGAGACTGCGAGTTCTGTGCCCGGAACATTGCAAGGACCCGAAGATCAGCGAAACCGAGGTCTGTGGCTGTCCCTTGGTTACGAATGTGTTTGACAGTACCGGTGAGTTTTGTCGCGTACCGAAAAAAAGCTGCGTGAAGCATTACGTCTGGGAGAAGCTGAGACGAGCAGAGATCGATATGGAGAGGGTGAGACAGTGGTTGAAGATAGACGAATTGGTGGAACAAGAAAGGCAGATTCGTTCGAATATGGCTACACGTGCCGGTGTTTTGGCTTTGATGCTGCACTCCACGTATAATCACGAGTTAATGGAACAGATGACCCAAGAACAGAACAGGGAACAATTAGAAGCAATGGAGGAGGAACTTCAACGTAGGTACGGCATGCTACAAAAAGAACAGTCTGTGGAACAATGATCGGCTCTGCTGAGACAGAGACACTTGTATTCAAGGGTACTTGGAAACTTTTTAACATACTCCGTGACGTGTTCAGTGTATTGATGATATTGTACAGTGTAACAGTAACAGTAACCATGAACTGTTCCTGGATCTCAGTGAATTTTGTATAATAGCCAACTGTCTCGATGAATTGTAGAAATGAAATCAAATTAGTGTAGACAAGAGGATGACCTGATTTCTATACTTGGTGGGGAAAGTTTAAATGAAGTTTATGAATGGAGTATATACTGATAGATTAACGAGGAAAGAAGACTGGTGAAAATGGTATCGATTAAAAAAGACTCGTTTCACGAAAAATAGCTACGTTACTTTGATTTCGACAGTGACTTGAGATCGTAAGGGCACTCGATGATGTCCAGAAATCTAGCGTGCAGCAAGAATCGTCCCAGCCCGACTCTGTATAATTGTGTATTTCTCTTTATTTATAACGTTCAATTAAACTTTTGTAAATTCAAATTCATAATATAATTTGTCCATTACCTATTTTTAGTGTTCACAATATATCATTTCACATTATATGATTGCACATGTGAAACAAATCAATTAACTCTTTATATGAAACATAATTCCAACGTTTCTAAAATTTACCACACTTTTAACTTCAATAAATATATTACTTGCTTAATTTTAACCGGTTAAGTTCCGACTCGTCGCTAGAAAGGATATTCTCTCAAAATACTTCTGAATTACAACAATGTTCCAATTGTAACACAGGATATTACATATTCTGGCACAGTACAACTCTCCAGTTTATATATATATATACATACATACATATGTATACTGTTACGGTGTACATACATACATACATGATACACACACACATATATATGTACATGCACTTCTCATTTTCTTCATTTACACACGCACACGTATTACATAATACATATACATATATATGCATATACATATTTATATGTGCCGTACCTTTCCTCTTGCTGTTCGCGGTGTATATGTATGTCTTTGATGCAAACTGTGAGAATCAAAACGCCCGTTCTCACCTTCCTCTCGGCGTCAGTACTGGCGTAAAGCCCAACGGACAAAATGGAATTAAACTCGAATACCCCCCAAAACGTTCGGGTCAAACTTTCTCTATAAATAACTAGCTTAATATATTAGTGGTTGCCATGTGTTGCGCTCAAATACGTTTTGCAAAAAAAAAAAAGGAAAAGAAAACCAAAACAATCTGTGTAACTCTAGCTTCTTCTTCTCCTATCCTCTTCCTCTTGGTTTCAGTCGGAGACGGAAGGTTCGTCCGGTTCCTCTCAGTGTCCATCACCATCTCCCCCCTCACTTCCGGCCCCACGATTATCGATATCCTCGGTGTTGCACAGAGAACACAAAATGTTCCGTCATCTTCACTCCGGTTTCGGTTCAACCGCCTCCTCAGAAAAAGAGGTTCACCATGTGACTGACTCATACACACACTCGCACACACATACGAAGCACGCGCAGCGCTTTCGATGCCCCGCGTGATCGAGTGTAATCGATAAACGGAGCCGTTTATTTTGAAAATGGTGTAACGTTTACTTTTTCTTCTTCGTCGTCGGTAATTTATTCGAATCTGTTTGTAACCGTGGCAACCACATTATCCATTTTTTTCTCTTACATATATACCGCTTTCAAAACGAACGGCTCGGAATCACGACCACCGGAGGATCCTCTGAGACCGACTTTTCCGCCAGCACGGTGGTGGTTCCGCCACGCGCGCAAGAAGCACGTCCGTCGTAACAAGCGCTAGAGAATAAAGTGGAACAATGAAACCACTACTCGTGGTGTGAAGAGAATGACGACTGGTAGCGCGGCGAAACAACCCCGCTGATACGAAATCGTCCCGAGGTCTTTGCGTACGCCCCTATACATATACCCAGATAGCACATGACGCCTTAAAGACGCCCACTTTACGGCTGTTTTAGGTCTAAGACGCCTCTAAGTCGTCTTCAAGGCGTCATTAAGCATCTTGTACTATCTGGGTATGTATCTCGCCGAAAATTCCATTATTCTCTTTGGAAATAGACGAATCGCTCGAAACGACGCCCAAGACTCTTCGTGATGCAACCCGACGTACACGCGTGTCCCGATGGCGGATATTCACGTTCGCCATTTTCTTGCCCCGATCGGTTTTCTTTTTGTCCGTTTACTAATTAATATTATTAGCTTTGCTTTCCTGTGTAAGGGATTTTTTTTTTCGTTTTATCTCTAGTTACTCGTGACGACCGTCGAGACTTGGTCCCAACCGCAAAGTGGTGTGAGTTCTCCCTCCGTGTCTTTCGATTTTGACGGTTAACGGATCGATCGTCGAATCCGTCCCGCGAATAAATGAACGGTCAGAGGGGTTGGACACGGGGTATATTTTTTACATAGCTGACCGACCGATTACCGTTGCGGCCGAGACGGGCGTGGCGTGGACGTATGAGCGATTTGAAGAGAATACCGTGAATCGTCGATGAGTGTTCAAAGGATCTTGGGCACTGAATGTTCAGACGTCATCCCCGCCACTGGGGAGGGGTCTGTGGAACCAGTCAAGCCTCCAGTGGTGGGGATGACGTTTGAACACTCAGTGGATCGTCCGAACATTCAACGATAATTCACTGTAGGTAGAAATGGCGCCGCGTGCCTCAGGATCTTCCGGCGAACAGGAAAATAAAACCCATGAAATGATGTCTCTTGTTAGACATATTCGCGCGACTAGACTCCGGAAGTTTGTGCATTTCTAGTAAACGAAATGAAATGAAGGCTTTCGATAAAGTTAAATATCGTTGATCAGTTACTTAGAGAAGTGATATTCAAAGTAGGTGGGAAATATTTAAATTTTTTTCGAAAAGGGTCAAAACAGTTTTTAGGGAATTCTTATTAACGTGGCGAAGCTTCTGATACAGGACTCAAAGTTCCGTTTCGATTTTAATCTTCGCGTATCAGTGTTGAATTTGCAATAAAATTCCGCAGTCCAGTTGTGTAACAAAAGAGGCGTGATGAATGGCACACGATGGAAGCAACACAGCGGTGTCCTAAAATGATCAATTGTCCAGAGACGGTCCACGGAGAGTCGATTGAGTTTCCTGCACACTCGACGATTTTATTGGAACGTTCTTTTTTCTTTTTAAATACAGTTTTTTTTTTTGTTTGTTTGTTTGTTATAACTCGTCAATATTCATTCTCGATCATAGGACAGGCTCTCTGCTCTGGCCGGAAATATCCTGGGACACCCTGGCGCACTCTCTACTTCTAATCTATAGATCGCGGGTTCGACGCGCGCGCATGTACACATCGATCGGAAAACGAGCCTCGGACAAACTTCTCCCCCTTTCATCTCGATTTCGTTCTGAATCATAATCAAACACGAGAGTACTTAGTCTTTCGAAAAACGTGAATCCATCTCGTTTTATCGCATACCCAATATAATACTCTCTACTTAAGGAAACCGCTCTCTCTCTCTCTCTCTCTCTATGCCCATGCTCTCGAGGATCGGTGACGAGAATAAATGTAACCAATGCAAAACAGTGGTGTCGAGCAGACAGGTGGTGAATGCTTTTTTTTACAGGAAACCAGTATTTCTCTCTCTCTCTCTCTCTTTTTCTCTCTCGACACCATCGTCTCCGACCTTAATCTCGCACCGTACCCTCGTTAACAAAAAAAAAAAGAATGAACAAGACTCACTCTGCCACAATTGTCAGAAATTACACGAATGTTGTGGAGATCTTGTCTCGCGTAGACAGACCATGTGCTGCGATCTGCACATCGTGTCGCCGTTATTGGTACAGTGGATTTTAACTATATTGCCATGGTCCAGGCTGTAGGGGAGTAAAATGGCAATATGTTCAGAGCCCCCTCCGTGCTAAGTTCTATAGCCCCGGCCTCAGCGCCTGCGCAAAAGCTGGTGCGCCGGCGTACGCAACGTGGTGGGAGAGTGAATTTGCGTGCTCGAAAGTACGTGTGAAAGGGAAATGCCTCACGTGGCAAAATGTTCAGTGGCAATATAGTTAGAGTCCACTGTATTAATCCGCGGCGACGTTATTATAGAAATAAATATATACATAACAACTTAATACAAATATATATATACATAATAACATAAATATATAAATTTTGTACACATGTATATATTTATATTATTACGTATATATTTGCGTGTACATGCTTAATTACATCGCCGCGGATTAGCACCATTAATCGTCACACGGTGTACAGGGCGCGCATGGTCTGTCAAGACACCTGAACTCTACAAAAATTTGGTTCGACGAGGGTCATTTCTGGCAACCGGTGGACAAGAGACAGACAAACGTTCGCGGGAACACGTAGATATCGCGGCGTAGTCGCCCAGAGGTGTGTAAAATATAGAGTTTTACTCGATAGATCCGTGTGAACATATCTTCTCGTTTAAACACGAGTGGAAATCGACTAAATGTAGAGATAAAGCTACCGCGAGTGATCCCCTAACCCTTCTGCACGTTCACCCGTTCTAGATCATCGGCTCCCGCGCGGTTACAATTGATCATCGATTGCCAAGATGAAGAATAACAATTAAATTCGTCTTTTCCGGCCTCGAGCACGCGACGATCGATCCAGCATTAGGAGATACATATATATATATACATATATATATATATATATATATATATATATATTGCAGAATTGCCTCTCCTCCACGCGACTTGTCGCCCCCTCTCTCTCTCTCTCTCTCTCTTACACACACATACATACACACACACACGGACACACAAGCGTTCTACCGTCTCTGCTCGTTCCTCCGTTACGTCTTTTTTATTGCTTACGGTACAGGATACGGCGCGAGCGCTGTCGACGTTGGTGTCGACGCGTGGTACCGTGAACTATTTGAATCATTTTCTCGGCCGCGAGAACGAACAGAGATAGACAGAATAAGCTGGAGAGACAGACGGGGTCGAGGCACGAAGTACGTCAAGGCGCGCGCATTACGCAACAAATCAAAGAGATCGCGGGCCGATACGCTCGGTATATATCGCGGGCAGTGGGGCGTGTTTCGGTTCTGCGATAAGATCGGGGAACGGACGGACGGACAGAAATTGCGTTTCCTCTTTTACATCGTCAGATCATTCGAGAATTTCTCACCTAACGAGAGAGTAGAGAGAGAGAGAGAGAGAGAGAGAGAGAGAGAAAGGTCTTGGAGATTTCTGTCCGCCGTGAGATCGTCCTACACGAGGGATATCGATCCTTCCAGTGGAGTCCGCCATCTTGGAACGATCGTCAAAGGCTCGATTCTGCGAGACGGAATGTACAGGATTCGCGCGGGACGATCCATCTTGGTCGTTCCACCGGGAGGATTAATATCCCCGCAAGATCAACGGCGGAAAACACCGACGACGGTTCCAAGATGGCAACCGTTTTTCAACATGACGACGAGGGGTGGGGGAGCACGTCGGTTCGGATACGAGGAGGCACCCTC